CGATGTGGAAAACTAAAACACGCGTATTTTGCCATAAAAATTTAACAAACACTGTTACCCGAAAACGAGTAGTCTAAGGATAGAGGCGAACGTTTTTTTTAAGCAACAGACTAATTCAATCTCTTTATTTCATAACTTCAAAGTTTCACACAACCCTGAAAATTCGTCTGAACAATCATTTTTTCCTCTAATTTTGGATTTCAAATAACCAGGTCCACCTTAACGAGGTTCCTGAGTCAGTATGAACGTTTAATACGCTTAGTAAATGAGATTTACCGACTGCAAACATAATAGCTTTACGGTATATTCAATCAAATTTGCACTTGTCTTTCTCAAAACGCCGTACTTCAAATGCGATGTCAGAATTATGGATCAACAAATAAGATGCCAAACAACTTGTCTGTCTGTCTGAAAATCTGTTGCGGTAAAACGTTGGAAGATGATGAGAATTACTATTATTATTATTGAGTAAATTGCTAAAACCATAAAGACCGAAATATAGTTTTGCAACGATGTTTTCGATAGATAAGTGCGGTGTAACTGTTTGATTACTGATAGAATTAACCTTGACTGGTTCCAAACTCCTTTACGTGTCCTCTTGAACTTATCTGATATTCAACTGCAATAGAACCCTGGACTGCTTCAGTTGACCTTATATAGTTGCTGATGTGAATTGGCCTGTGGAAATTTTCATGTAAATCAAAGCATATGGAAACTATTGATATACCTTAGATGACACAAAGTGCTCTCGATCAGACCAAAAAGATATATTGTGCTAAGTCCTGTAGCCTCAGAATTCTTCGGTACATGGCTCCCGGTCACTGAGGACAGAGCTTGCACGTTTATCCGGTGTTGTAATATACACACGCACACAAACACACAGAACTGGGATGTTGGCCATTGATAAACGTTTTCGCTGCGCAACTAATAGCAAAATAAATCGATTTAGAATTAAGTTGAAGCGTTTACAGTTAGGATATCCATCACGGTTGTCTGTCGGGATATTATTCATAACCAACTCAGTGCCCCGATAGCTCTCGTAATCTGTCTCGTAAACGTATGGCGTAGAAACATAAACAGAAATAATGAATTATCTCCCGCTCCGCTTCTGAAAAGCCTTGCTATCAATATGGAAACTTACAACTTTTGTGTGCTGTACAACGTGAATACGTGCATTCGCGACACTTATTGCGAATACATATCATCTTCGTGAACGACTGAATCGTATCATATTTTTCAGGCAAGAGTTCATGATATACTGAAAGCCACTAGCGCAATGTTATTCATGTTCAAAGAACAGCAATCGCAAATTGATTACCACATTTTTTCCGTCATCCATGTGTGTCCACTTTCATCTGCTATTGATTGATGAACTATTGGCTAGGCAGATCAAGATAAAACAGAGGTAGCACTTGCCACAAACCCTCTCAAAGCATTCATTCTCTCCTGTTGCTATCCTAACAGTAAAACGTGTAATGCATTCCATACTGGGACACACTAAAAAGAACAGCTTGGTTATCCTCTGAACTGGGATCGCTGAAATGATCGATCCTGTGAAATGCATTGCACGGGACGACCGTCTTATCACTTACCTAAACTGATTCAAGTTGTAATTGGGACCCGATTCTGCCGTAGGAAACTCATGCCGAACACATCATGAGCATTCATCATATATTTTCCTGCTACTGTGCCAATTTTGTAAGATGAAGTCGAGTGGGTTGAGGAAAATAAGGAATTGAAATGAAAGGAAACACCCCTTTACATGATTGATAAATCCCATTTGTAGACGAGATAGCATTTTCTCCATGCACTTCGTAGTAATTTGATTTGTTACAAGGGGTTTCAATGTGGCACGACGACGAAAAACTATTTATTCATGTCTTTTTCGTTTATAAAACAGTCTGGGAATATGTGCAAACATTAGAAGATGCTTATTTTCATTTGAAAAACAAAGCAAAATTCCCTTGGAAAGACGGGTTGAATTATATTTGAAATGAAAATGTCAGATGCAGACATATGTATGGGGGGATAGTGCTGTAAATTTGACGATCCTTTGGCAACTAGTCATTAAACATACACATTGAACGTGAATAATATATGATCAGGTGTGAACTTATTCAACAATCGAACCACCTTGTTTGTCGCCCCGGAGATGGAAACATATAGAAACGGAAAGAAGTCTTTGACTGAAAGGCCCTGTGTTTGATACATCATTCTAAAGTTGAAAAGAGGTTTTATTTTCTGATAATGTTCTGTTTTATTGACACTGACGTACTGATGCATTTTTGTCTGACTCAACATTCTGTCAACCATGTAATATTTGCAAATTAATTACTGTTCACACTGTTTAATTGATTGATTGTTTACGTATTAAGATCTCCTCCGGCACTATTTGTCTCAAATCAGGTGAATTGTTCGCCTTGTAACCGATTTTTTTCTCCGTTCAAAAGTGATCACAAATAAATTTCTCTTCTTAACAGAAGCCACCAACTTGTTATCAAAGTGATAATTTTATCTCCTTGATCAAGAATTTCCAACCATATCTGTTGTGCAGCGAAAAATCGTTTTTATTTGGCTTGGTTAAAAATCGACCTGAATTTGGTTTTGCACGCACACTTTGCTGATGTATGCTAATGGGACCTGCGCTGTTGCTTTTAAAGTTGTGATTATTTTGTATACGTCTGCATGCATGAACGCCAAGCATGCATATTACGCGATCCATGGCTGATATTACAATAACCTTTTTCCTATCGAACACCCGGTTGATAACAGTGAACACTTCCACCATCAGTCAATCCCATTTGAGGAGACGACCGAGCAGTGTACGTAACTGTTACTCCCAACCACTTATGTTTAAGTCGCAGATTGGAAATCCATCCATACTATAAAGCACTTCGGTTTTAGGAAGCTTAAAATGTTCTAGCGCTCCGTCATTCGTTTTCGGATACTCATGTTCTTGTCTGTGTAGGTCATTTTGGTGGTGACGTATTAAAGGGACACCTCCCCGTCGATGAAAGAGTTACGGTCAGTGTCTTGGCAAGGTAGGTTTGGAGAAGGCTGGATCACATTTCGTACGACTAGATCACGTTTTGATACATAATGTGTGTGATGGATCTGTGTTCATTGTGTAGGCTTGTAGATGAATCACTGAAAACAATTGATAACCCTTGAACAGGTGCGTTCTCTTGTCAGCATGATCATATTCCGTAACCAAGCCTATACTATTATATCAAAACATTAGTTGTATCTCCATCTCCAATCTCACGGTGAAATATTTTCGCTACTCGTCTGTCAGTCAGTCATCACAGGGAGATCTGAGACATAAACACTGGTCGTGTCGTTTAGACTGACTGGTGGTAAACTAAGGTCTATGCAAAATAATTTCTTCACCCTAGTTGACAGGAAGTGTGTCATGCGAATTTATCACTAATTTGATGCCATTCATTCATTTGTGCATCAAGTTTCGAAAGCAGCTATTTCGGTCCTGATAACAATAGGAATAACAAGGAGGATTAATTTGCACTATTGGGCATCCCAGTAAGACACGTTATACTCCTTTTCGAATTATGTGCATCAAAACAAAACTACCAATCAGGGAATGCCGCCTTTGGTTACGTTTGGCAATGAGTTGAATTGGTATCTGTGTGCTTCCCGTTTGGTGTGGTAGAATTACTCTCCATATGATGGGCCCGAATACAAATAGAACCTAAAATTAATTTATGTAGTTGGCCGTATCGAAAATGCATATTTCTCATTCCCTCTTTATGCGTCTTGATAGACTCATGTGAAGATGTGCGACAAGGTATTGTTGTAACTCGTCTCATAGGTATCCAACATATATCCGAAGGAAGTCACATCTCCAGTTTAGCGAATAATGATGAGAGGGCTGTATGGTGCTTGGTGCTCCCGTTGCTGATCAAAGAATCACATTTGGTTGACATGTGTAAAATGTTTGCATTACAAAACGCTCGCGCTTCAGATTTGCGTACGTGTGTTTCTGTCTGATGCATATACATTCTAAAATAGCGACTTACGCGGGTAAGGGACGGACACAGATCCGAGGCGACTACCTGAACATAGAATTGAAAAACATCAAAAGTGTCATGATCTTCACAAGATGTGAAGTCGCCAATTCCGTAGAAAAACGAACGTTTGTGAACAAAGGCTGAACAGCGAGAAACGTGTCCACATAGGTGCTGATTGTCAGTAATGATGCTAACCGTTTTGACGCTTACATGACAGGCGTAATAGGTGTCAGCTGATCCGGAGGGAGTGGTGAAAGGAGAGTTTGGAATTGTTAAAAATGCAGCAGGTTGGGGTGAATTTCTAGCAAGGTTCCTAATAAAAACAACCACCTAATGCATTGGAGAGGCTACCAGACAATGTGTATGTGCAAAACGTCATACATCGTTTTCGTAAATATGACTACCTTATTTCCGGAAGCTCAACGTTAACTATGCCACGACAAACCAGCGAGGAGTGTTATGACTAACTTGGTATTATCACTGGTAGGATTGCATTGTTAAAAACACAATGATTTCTTTTTCTTTTTTTAAATTTTACTTCCTTTTTATTGAATACACAATGATACAATTTTCAGGAAGGGGTAAGCGGTCAATCAAGGGGCTGCCATGGGGAACGTCAGGCGGTGGTGGTGAGGTTCGAATACACGTCCCCGAGGTGGTAATTTGGTGACGTCACCACCAGGCTGGAGACCGAATAGAACACCTTACATTTTTTTGAAAATGACTATATTCACTGTCCAACTTTGCCCATTGTTCTCCAGGAATCACTGTTGGTAGGGGCCTTTAGGGAAACATACATGACCAGAAAATACTAACTGATGTTTTAAGTTTCTGGTAATGCCATGTACTGATAAAATAATTATTATAACCGTATTCACTAATAAACTAACTGTCTGTAAGTTTGAACGAGATGTCTGTGGTTGATTGTCCCTGTACATTTTCCTGTTTTAGCACATGCCCCTGTAATTTAATCTCATGTTATCGACGTCACAATCGACCCCTTTGGAACAAAATATGTCTCTTCCGGTGGACGGTCGTTGTATCGTAGTCCAGATGCCTAGCGTGGAGGAGATGCGTCGTGAGGTTGCTGATATCACATGCCAAATGCAATCAGTGTATCTGGACGACGAAGCCAATTTGGGATCAGCTGAGGAGTTTACACACATCGGAAGCCGTGTAAGCTAACAGACATCGATTTTTCTATCAGGCATAGTCCGTTTTATTGTTTCACAGAGTTTTCCATCTTATACGGACGCAATCGTAAACTGGCTGCGCTTTAGTGCAAGGCGTTTGTATGTCATTGATGTGTTGCAGTTCAGTACAATCGACTTGCGCTCCATTCGACAGAACTAAAAGCTGTCTCAGACTAAACGAGTGGTCAAGATTGGACCATTTACTGATTAATGAGCTCTTTGAGCTTTGATCAAAAAGCGGTACCGTATCGATCTAACGTATTAGGCGCCACTTAGCAATTGTACCGAAACACTGCTGGGGGAAGACACGTTGATTATTGGCTGCATGATTTTGTTTTGATTGATTTGTTGAGTTTAAGTTGGAACAGGTCCAACCTGAAGAGTGGCATCCATGAGGCATTAGCACAAAATTTTATGCAATACCGGACTTGCAGTGAAGATCCAAAAAATAAAAATAAATAACTATTTTCTGTTTCATAAAACATGAAAAACGAAATGTGTCCGGATGTGAGCACACAATGAGACTAGTTTTGAGTAAGGTAAAGCTCGGAAGACACATTTTCTGCATTCGGTATTGTAAATATGACAATCGTTTAGGCTCATCCACAATATTACCTTTAGTGTATCATCGATGACAACACGAGTGGGTTACAACTGTCCGCGTTACTGTGTTATGGAACTTCCCATTGGAACGCAACGATTAACAGCTGTTGCTGGTTTCGACAAATAGTTTGGACCAAGTGGTCGATACTGGCCTGCACATTCCATCAGTTAAATAGACTAGGTACCAGTTCCCACTCTCAAATTGGCAAACTATTGGTCGAAGGAACAAAGGTGAAACTTGGCGCCTTAGGTCTTTGGCGATTTGTCAATATTTTGTGATGCATTGTATTCTTTGAGAGTTCAATTGACGACAAAAGGAAAGACTAATCAAATTTTGTTCTAAAACGTTGCTCTAAGCCAAGATATCGTCCTACAATTCTGTAGGTGTCACTAAAGGTTTATAATTATTAAAGTATTCAGCATCAAAGTGACACTTTTTTCTATAGACGAAAATACCGAAAATGTCTACGAATATTAAAAAGGGAGCAGGCAAAATTAAATAAACTCCAAAAATTTGGACTCCTATTGATGATGATCTGCAACGTAAAAGGAACAAGTGTAACGTAGAACGTTGTTTGCCCAGCAAGGTCAAATCTGTGCTTCCCACAAAACAGGCCCCCGAAGCACATAACGTCGAGTCATGTCAATTCTTGACATGACATGATTTAGTAAACACAGGCAACGGTATGGTGAATGGTTGTCTAACAAACAAACCAAGCGCTGACCACTGAGTCAGGTAAGTTTCTTTCCTGAGCGAAAGTGGAAAATCTGATTCTGACAAGAGATACGCTAGGGCTGTCACACATGACTATTGTAAAATTTTGTCTTGTTCTTAATCTCAAAACCGAAATGATAGGCATCGTTGTAGTCAGCCGATTGAGTCTCTAGTCATGTTACTAGAGTTGTGTCATACGACCAAGAGCATGAGACCCCACCCCGAAAAGTGCAGTCTTACAGAGCCTATTGGCTGAAGCTTACTAATTACTGAATCTTAATTTCGTTAAATGACTAGCTTATTAGTATCCTTAGTGTGTCGCAGTTGTCTTCAACACAAGCACACTTTACACAACTAGCTTTGCACGCCCATCAGGAGTGCATTACACAGGCTTTTTCTAGCTAACCCCTCTCGCCACAATCCCAAACAATCAATATCCTACTCCTGCTGAGATAAGCTTCAAACGAAAGATCATTTTTAAAGCACATACAACCTGTGATTTCTACTGAAGATTGTATACTCGAGTCACAATTAATTTCCAAACAGGAATACTCCATTATGACGTCGGGAATCTTTAAATCGCGGCTATCACGAATGTTGATGTCTCACTTCTAGTGACCGTTTTTCAACGTTCTTCCAAATAGAAGTGCTCAACAGAGAACAGTTCTCTACTTGGATCACCAAGGAAGAAAATGACTACTTTGGGTCCCAAATCATCGCTGCTGGATCGGGGTCCGGATACGGAACAGCCTGACGCCGGGAAGGCTAAGTCAAATACCATCGGTCGTGTGGTTGGCATCAGCAATGAGATGATTGAAGCGTTCCCGATTCAATCTTCCATGAGTTCCAGTCTGCCACGTGAGGAGCAGGTGTCCGAAGAGTTCGTCATTAACGGAAAACGATACCGGCAGACGTATCAACGGCGAGTTGTACTGGAACGAAAAACGACACGAGATGTGAGTTTGCATGATTACACATGCATGGACGACTTAAGATGACATGTTCAACTGTTTGAAATTGATACCAGACAAGATAAACTTGTCTTGTGACAGGAAATGTGTGATCTAGCACATTGACTACCGATTTGCGTCCCGAAACTTGCTGGACAGATTTAATTAATCAAATGTTCGTTAAAATCCAAGTAGTTATGCAGTTTTTGCATCCCTTCTGTATACGGGCTAGTTTGTCGCTGAGATATTTAGTACATAAAGATTTTGAATAAATGTGATCGGACTAGCGCAAAGGTCGAATATGAATGATAGTGTATTGTTCATTGTCATGTACCGACCGAAATACAGCCTGAAATGTTTTGGATATTTGTTAGCCGTAGAAAACCGTACAGGGGAGTTGTGATATGTAATATTGGACATCAAACTAGTCGATGACAGTGGTCTTAGGACACCTTAATCAGATGATTCTCTGACGTCGGCTTTTATTAGGTGATAGAGTAAATGCATGGTAAGCTTCGAATGGAACGCATGCGTTAAGAGCTTTCGGGCAAAGCTCACAAAATAAAGAATAAATATTTCAAGAGTGGTTAAAAGTGTTACCAATAAAAACTGGTCGGTCTAATCAACACCCTATTATATGAATCCCTCATCGATAAATCAGATCTGGTTTGCAGTGTTCATCTCTAGTCTAGACATCGTCCAACCATTCAAATATGTTGACTTCTGGAGTTAGCTTATCTTTGTGAGAAGAGTTCAAAAACGGCACTAAGCATGATTCGAATATCAAAACAAGTAAATTGAGTCTCCCTGATAGGTCCTGTGAAATTATTGACACCCTCACTGCGTTTGAAATAAAGACAAAAAGTGAACTTTCTGCAAATTATAAGTTTTCATGAAAAAGGAATCCACTGTTGCCTTAGGCCGAAAGCTGGTAATTTTTGAACACTTTCTATTTTGTAAATACATTTCTCTCTGACATTTACCCCTGGTCTCAAATCCTTTGCCGCTCAATCAACTCTTAATTGTTTGTGTAAATTTCTGAAACTAAACTCCTTAATGCTTATAACACAAAAGCTCTACATTTTATTGATTATGGTGATAAACTATTTTAACTATCGCGTGCACTTACGTCCCCCCTGAAACGATTTCGAATACGCATGTCATAATGGAAACTTGAGACTTATGAAAAATATTAACTTTTGCCCGTAATATCTTAACTATTCATATTCCTGACAGAATTTACGATCACGGGGAGTCTATTTGATGTGGTGCGAAAGCTACGGTGGCATATTAGGTGAACGCATCAGCCTTTCTATCAATGCCAGTATGCATTCATGGCCTATTGACCAATATCGCGGGTATCAGTGATTGCCAAATCGCGAAAGATTTGCGCGGAAAGAACCGGTGTGTGAACGTTATTTAGTGTATCTTTATTCGAGTATACAACACTCAGATGGGTTTGGTCGAAATGGGCTTTAATAATGAAAGTAGTCGGAATCCGGCGAGATATTCGCTCCCTCTTCGCGAATACAACCTACGGATGGCACTGCTTTTTTGAAATGGATATTAAAGCAGCTGTATCGTCATACACGTTATCTACCACAGCGATTGAGCATTATAAAATAATCACTCGACTAGTAATTCAAATATGAAATTATTATACAGCAAATCACTATTTTACAGTCTTTCTCCATGTCACAATAAACGGGAGCGGTGATTGAATACAATTAGGTAACTGATTCTTTAAACACCACGAGTTCATTCTAGAATATTACCTCGTTTGCCAAACATTCTATTCGAGAAAACACGAGTTTGCCTCTGTCAAATGAATTAAAAAAACAGCGAGAATTTAGTCAATATCCGACAGAATGCGTAGCAATTTGCTGGTCATCTAATACCATTTATCGAATAGATATTGGTTTCGTTAATTGAATTTTCTACTGTCTGTGCAGTTGCGATTCAACTGGTTGTTATCAAATGCGTAGGGAATCACAAGATTGGACATTTTGAACGACAATCAGACGGAATCCGGCAATTGACTGTCTCTGGTCAGTCTAATTCGCATGGAAATTGATAATCGATTCACCATTCTCGTAATGCCTGATGCTCGATATGTTTGTTCTGTCCGACTCCTGACTGATTTGAGCCAATCAGAAAGCAATCAGTTGAGAGCTGTTCGAATGGGCTTTCAGTTGCTGGTGTGTATGGTTTAAATTTTCTGTCTCTCCCTCTCATCAGTTTCTTCTCGAATATTCAAATTCTGTGTCCCTGGCTCCCTGGCCTCCTGGCAAGCATCTGAATCAGTTTAAATAATCAAAAGCAGTTGCAGCCTGTCACCATCCTGTGATGTTATTGGTTTGTTTAGCTCCCGAATGCCATCGGCGCACTGTTGTGGAATCTTTGATTCCGTGTTGTATGTTTGTACTGACTGCATTATTATATGAAATAGTTAAGTTCATATGATGAATTTCATTGTGTAAAGAGCAAATAAAGCGTAAAATTAAAGGTTAAGAAGCTTTTAGGACAGCTGTTTCAACTTGGTTGGGTATAACGAGTAGTGTATATCTGAAGGTCGAATCTTCGGTTGCTTTCACTGTTCACTGTGTTCGGGTAGGATGAACGTTTAGGCACTTATGTGCTCACTTTTCCACATGACGAATAGCTGGTAGACATGCGTAATTGATTTAAGTTTACATGTGGTCGCGGCAAACTTCGTGGAATCCTTCAAAGGACGCATAATTATTAACCGAGAAGCTTTCTATCGGGAGTTAACTTGAAACAACGATTTAGTCGACTGACGTCGACTGAACACCACAACAATAAAAACCAACCACTCAAAATGAATGAATTCACAATTAGCCGCGCAGCGATCACTGACTCACCGAGTGGCGCTCGAGCGTATGCGAGCATATGAGCGTCTGATTTGTGCATTTGTCTCATGCCAAAGACATGGTCAAGTAGGCACATTCATATTCGTCAAATTGACGATTCTCGTATCATGCAAACGATCCGAGAAGTTTCGATACCGGTTAGTTTATTTCCTCTTTTGCATTATTTCCGGTTCTAAGTGAACTAGCCAGTTTGACATCGAACTCCGTAATCGCTCATTGCTTTCCTCTTAATATGCACACGTTGTTCCAGGTTGGAGGAATCACATTTCGTGTTCTGCTCATTTTACGCAGTAGTTCAACAGGAAATTTATGCATCTGCTATTGTTCAACTCTAATTTCCTGTGTGAGAATATTCTACAATCTCCGAAGTCCGAACTGTCTCTATGAACAACCACGTTTGAATCACCTGGACTAGCAGAAGCACCTTTGGCTAGAACATCATACCCAGGATATTAACTGCTAGCACCAACTGCCAAAGAAAGTCTCCCCAATCCTTGTGACGTCCATTGCATGAGGCATGAGTATATTCACCAAATCAAGTCGGATATCCTCTGACTAACAACGTGCATTCTCCTCACTTTTGTGGGGAAGTCGTTGCGACTACTACTGACGAATATCATCCATTTTGTGGGACTGCGTGATCATTAATTCCATGTCTGGTTCGTGACGGATAAGCAAACAAATGATTCCATTCGCGTTTCTTTTTAGGCCCTGTTTTTTTTAACTGTTGGCCAAAACCTCAAGGCATATGTTGGCCACATGCGGTGACAGCCTGGTAGATAACGTGGGATCACATGAAAAACATTGATAAACAGACATACCTCCATTATGTATTCGCCTTTAGTAACATATATCTGCACACACATACATCCCTATCTATATAACCGGCCCATTGTTCATCACGATCAACAGCCGAGAGAGAAAATTTTTGTAAGGTTATGAAACATTAATTAGTTACTTTAAGACAGCCTCAATCTACTTGAATAAACTTTATTTTATTTTTATGTGATTATTTCCCGTGAGAGAATGGACCCCGTTTGTCACTGCCAATATTTGCGGCAGCCTGGTGACGCCGATTGGAGATGAGATCTGAGCAACGGGTGATCCGGATTTGAGACCTGCTGTGTGACTCTGGAGACTCAGTGACTGATCAGTATTTCAATGTCCATTTTGGAGATACTAAGCCATGTTTGCAGTTGAACTCTCCTAAGACAGCCCCAAGCCGAAAAACGTTGGAGCGGACACAGACATTAGAGCGCTGGGGTCATCCTCTTTGTAGGACGTGACCAAACCAGTGTCGACCAAGGCGTTGTATGGAGACTGATAACCGTTGGTTGTCAGAACAGGGCATACCAACTTCTTTTTATTCATGGTCTCTACTCGGTATTTCTGCTATGCTTTAGAGGCATCAACAGCCGATTGTTTCCGGTCTTCAGATATCCTTCTATCGGAAGGACCGAATTTCGAAAGCATGAGGGATATACTTCTCAATAGGGCTACTGTCGATGGAACATTTTGTCTTTGCTCTGTCCGGTGGGTAGACTCAATAATTCTAGATATGTAAAGAAAGTGACCTGTTGCTATTTCTTCGTCACTGATTTTCTACTTTCATTTGTTCATATTAGGAGGAACCAACAAATAACTTTGTTACTGATATCAGTACTATAGCTCAAACCGTGAAATCCGGGGGGAATTTGTGGTGAATCCCAAGAAGCACGTTTTATGAGTTATTACCCAAAACACCTCTGTCTTCTGAGTATTCTAAGCCTTAGATCCACGCCACTGGGATTATGTGAATACTGACGTAGCCTTCTAATCAGTGTCATACTACAGTAGGTCGTGTAGTTAAACACTTTGTGAAAGGAAGGTCACTCTTAATTCATCCATTAGTTTAATGAAAACTTGGATGATTCTTTAGCATGATCACGTGTTGCTGATAATAGACCTTTCCAACCATCCTTTACAGTGCACCAACTTTCATGATCATCAATCGTGATTCCCTACTAATTGAACCAAATGCTATTGAAATCTTAGTCTACACATTTTCTCGCAACAAACTCCTCTCTAATTTTCATCAAGAATATACTGGTTACTGCATAAATAAGACGGGCATCCCACATTTTTTCGTGAATTAGGCAAATACCCGAGGCATCCCACAAAGTTGAAAATGCTTCACTCTCCTATGTCAATCGGAAACTTGGGTGGAGAGGATCCAGCAGAGTAGACAGTAAAGCTTTTTGTACTCCTGCTGGGATTCCGTGTCTGCCAAGGGCTTTCATGTTTTTCAGTGTAGTTTTTGCTGCTATCATGGTTGATTGTTAGATACCATGCAGTTTGCCTCAAACGGATCCCAGTCGGTATTCCGTGCACTGTTAGGGCCAGTTTAATGGCGTGCGGCCGCGTTCAGCTCTTCGATGAACCTGGTCTTCCCAGTAGGTTATAAGTTGCTTACTATCGTCATTCGATAAAACTCGTGCTAATAGGTATCTAACAAATGATGCTCGGATTTTTAGAAGTTTTCCGTAATCCCCAATTTTCAACTCAGATCCCCTTTTTTTCCTGATTACAGATCGGCATTTGTTGCCGTTGTTTCTAGGTAACTATTTGGTCTCGGGACAAAAGCCTTGGAAGTTTTGCTCGGGTTGACAATTTCAAAGTGCTCCATGGTATTCAGTCCTTTTGGAAGCGTGACTCAACTCCAAGTGACCTTATGAATATAGGTCTACAGCACATGCGACTGAAGGCTCAACTGTTTTCTCTGCTGTTATGAGCAATAATATTTTTGAACAATTGTAGGAGTATTGTCGACCGGAGTAATTTTTGGTGTATTGTTGGAGACTGTAATAGAGATAAATTGATTTTGGCGCAAGAACGAGCTATACGGGGAGTGAAACACGCAAGGATCTGTGCAATCGTCATGTCCCGTTATGGCCCCTCAGTGAGAGCGACAGGGTTTAGACGGGTCACCCAACGGGATCAAAGTAAGTCATAGTTTAGCTGATGCACTGTGACCCATAATGGAAATACCGTATATACAAGTGTTTTTGAAAGTCGATTGATTCCGAAGTGGAGGTATAGTGTAACCAAACGAATGTATATTATACACTTAATATATAATATCATAAAATATAATATATATAGTAAAACAAAGATAAATAAGATGGTTACGGGTTCGCTTGTCTTTGAGTACAAAGATGAGAATGGTTCAGATTTACAACGAAGACATTTGCATTTAAAAGTTTTGCATTTTGAGACTATTATTTTTTACCCCAATTCAGAGGTGTTCAAATTCCAAACCACTGGAATTGTATTAATTTTCGAGTTGATCGTTCCGATGAATTACACGTTCTTGACAATTTCACGAGAGCCAATTAATTGATATTAAAATTGTATTTACGCACATTCATAATTTGGAATGTGGAATGCCATTTNCCCTTAAATGATCCTTTTTTCCAATTATGTGTCGTTATCCCCAATTCCCAATATGTGACTCCACAATTATATGTATTGACTTGCCCACTCCATTTTCCCAGGTGTTCTTCCTTCCAGCTAGCTCAGGTGACACAAAATCCACACCGTCGGCAGAAAAAACGCTAGAGTATCATTCCCCCAATTTCATCAAATCCGGAATGGGAACGGTGTCCCCGGAACCAGGTCAGCCCGATGCACCAGATGAAATTGATTCCCGGCCAAGACTGGATCTGACAGTGCTGCACAACCCTTCGGGGACAACCAGTGACACAGCGTGTCTGACTCCAGCAGTGATCATGCGGCCAGTAACCAATTCGCCGGAAAAGGCAGTTGTCGATCCGTTGCGTAATGGGCATAAGAAGAGCCCCGAAGAAAACGGACACGCGAACACACCCGCGCACAAGTTGTTTCTGGGTGTTGGTGATGGGTCCCGATGCTACTCAAACACGCTCTCGTCCGAAACGGACAGCATGCGCTCTGAAAAGCCAAACAGAGTGAAGCGGTCACGGAGTAGATACATTGTTCGGGAAATGGTCGAAGCAGTGAAAAAACAGGTGGCAAACAATTTGCGAAGGACGAAAAGTATTCTCACCACTCGCGAGGAGGAACAGTTTAACAAAGCCAGACAAAATAGAAATACATTGACGGGGCAAACGGAACGTGGGAGTAGCGTTCAATGTATACTGAGTGACGGGACCGAGGACGGAAAAAAAATTGAAAACAAGGGAAGACATGAGTGTGAGTTTTCAAGGGAAATCCAAGGGTCTAATGTGAATACACCGGTTATGCTAGGCACATACTGCTTCATTTCTTATTAAATTATTCAGCTTATCCCATTAAAAGTGGGAGAGACGCTTCTTCCTCTCATTTGCTGCAAATCTCATGAAGTTATTTAAGTTAGACCAAATTTCTTGTAAAACATGATCTCGTAGTTGATACGTTTTCTTAACTCCACTGAAAGTTTCGTAAAATGTCTCCCATTGTTATGTGAAGTAAATGATGAAAGAAAATGATGAATCAGAGCACGCCTACAATGCGGGACCAAGCGCCAGGGCAAAGAGATGCAGCTATCGACTTTCACAATCCGCTGGTTACCATTTTATTACCCGCTGCACAAAACATGTGCAAACTCATCGAGAACACTAGGTTGACGCGCACTGGGGCCGACCGAAACCATTCTCTCCCCGGTCCCATTCTAAAGTGTGGGGTTCAGTGGGATGGCTACCGGAACGAATCGATAATTTCGTTTCCGACCCTGAAACATGCACAGACAAACGACACACGCACAAACACACATTGTGCATGCTTCGCCCTGGTGCGTCGGCATAATGTGACGATAACATTAAATCAAAAATCCACGTGGAGTGCTCCAAGAAGAATGGGTGCGCGAGTGAGGTCATGTGTGCGAAGGTCACGACGTCCAAAACATGTGCGACTACACCAGGCCACATGCGTTCGGTAAACAAAGACCCTGCTGTGTATCACCAGGGCAACAAACTGCGTGCGCATTAACGTCACTTTAAAACGAGGTTTTCTCTACCGATCCACACGGCTGTACTGCCAACACCAGACGTAATAATCACTCTGACGAATACCCCAACTGGACTCCGGCCTAACTGTCTGACAAACACCTTTATGCTTAGTTCAGTATGTATGGGAAGCTTTTCAGTCATTTGGCGATTTAAAGAATTGGTAATGACTAGACCGGACTTGGTTATTCAGGTATTCGTGGTAAAATTTTCCTTTACCATTGGAATAGCGAACAACTGTCCACAGACGGTTTGCGTATGTTGAGTTTACTGGCCGAGCAAAGAATGTGTGATGCAACATTGTTTCTTATCACCTTCGCCCTCTTACCCGTGATGTGAAACAATTGAATTCTCTCCGACCTTCTTGGCAATCTAATTGGATTATTTTCCGCGATTTGCCGAACATGGAATCCCTTAACATGACACGAAGCTGTCTGATCAACGACTAATACCAATGCTAGTCCAGCCGCGTGATAATAGCAATCCCGCAGCGCACAGTGGAAGTTCACTGGACCCTTAAAAGAGGCATAGCCGTGAACAAGGTGTGGGTTCTGACCAGGATCAGGTTTGGCAAGTATCACACCACTTGTTGCCGCTGAATCACCCGACCGATAGATGAATGAATCCAATCGATCGTGTGATTCTCGGACCCGAACAGTTGTGAATCCTGTGCGGCTTGATTGTTGGTAGGTAGTCGTCAAAGGATAATCAGCTATGCATCGATACAACATCCGGACAATTCGGAATGGAAAACGTTGGTGCTGTGATCACGTTGTATCAGCTCCGGACTGGTCTAAAATACAGGTACCACTTTTCTAATCGGGTCCAAAGTACTAATATCATATTAAAACATTGAACCTATTTGAGGTACGGACTCCAGTATCCACTAACATAATTCCTAATTCCTCTATGGTCACTTCTAACTTTTGCTGTGTACGATTCCTCAAATGAGATTGGGAGACACCTGAACGCGCATTTCTAAAATAAATTGCCACAACTTCATGCGGTTTACGGGCTGGATACCTAGGAATTGTTGAGAACTTTCCCTGTGTGAATCTGAATTATACTAGTCATCTGCTCATGTCCGATCTATCTGCCTCCCGTTTCCGGGTCACCAGCAGACCCCGATTTCGTGGATCAACATCCAACACAACCACACATGATATCGCGCTAGCAGAATGTTCGGTCCGCATTCTAACTGACAGGCAAAAGATTCTAATGGAAGTTATTGCAAATAAGCATCGTCGGTCATCTATTTGTCCATTTTTCATCCATATCAAAAATCAATTGTTCTACAAATTGTTCATCATGACAATAGGAATTTTGTGACTGAAATGCAGACAGAAGGCTGAAATTTTCTTACAGCACGATTAACAAAAGCGCGATAATATGGCAACGATTCACCCATCATTATATTATTGTACCACAATGAAAGTATTCCGGACTGGCGGTTGTTATGATTATAATTCAACTTCTGTTGTGACGCAAAACTCCGCTTCATAGGAACAACAGTGAAATAAATAAAACATCTACTTCCTGTCGAGAAATAATTTTCAGTAGATAAACCACTGTTCAGTTTTGTGTAATGCTCACCCACTGATTTGATTTGATTCACTCAGATATTTTTTTAGTGCTTCTGTTTTGATTGTTAGACGTCGACTCACGTGATACTCGTGGATTATAAGTCTGGATTTCAGGTTCACATAGGATCTGGTTTCTCTACAAGTCGCGTTAACCGACCGTAAGGTTTCCGTTTGAATTTGGAGCTGATGATTGATAAGTGAATACAACAACCACGTATTATCTTATGAATACAGAATAAATTTATGGAAACATTCTGATATATTACCTAATATACTAAGCAACTGTTCATCAACAACACACAAGAAAAAATATTTCGAGGAGGTTTTTATCCTTTCTTTCTTTAAAATAAGTAACGGTTGCAATATCGAAGTAGCGATTATCAGATCGCCCTGTAGATGAACATTAACACCCAGAGTTATGAATACAGATCGTGGTAACCGATCTGTAAAGCAGCACTACCAATGATCACAGGTTAAGTGTTATCCGTCTAGATAAATTTAATTAAATCAATCGAAAATATTTCATTCCTGAACATCAAACTTTTTATCCACACACCTGTGGCAAAAGGCAGACCTGTATCGGTAGCAGTGACTTGTCCAATGAACGAGCTATCTAACCGAACGGCTATATCGAAAAATAATTCGTGTATAGTAATATAATTCAGGGCGTACTACTATATATAATAAAATAACTAAAGAAACGAAACAATTACAAACAAAATAAAAAATGTATCTGTTGCAAATTTTTTAACTTCACCTTTTATGCGTTTCGTGTTCAATACTAAGATCCACTGTTTTGTTCAATCTTCATTCCAGTGGTCGGATACATGTACAAATTCGGAGTGTGGGACAATCAGGCCCCCGTCCTTGACCCCCGTTTGCCTGTGGCCATAAGATCTTCTGTGCTTTCTCGAGAAGGTCTCAATGGTACTGTGATTGCTAATCCGCCCGAGTGGCACCACGCCGAGGTCGGACTGAATGAGTCCGGTTCGGGACTGGTGCGAGGTCGTGTGGTGGCCTGTTTACAAAGATTCACTCAGCACAGTTCTGCCAGTGGCAAGGCATTGCATCGAAGCACATACGTACAGCAAACCCGCTTGGTTCGTCAGGTAAGCATTGTCATTGTCCTGAATATGTATATTCGGTTTGACGATTAGCTAAGCGGTGTTCCGTACGCAGAAAGCCCTGAACGAAAGTTACGCAACTACGGACCATCGTTCTGAAGAGATCTATAAACACTCGAGGCATCAAATTGACTTCCTGATATCTACGTTTATCAACGGAGCGTTTTACAAATTCCAGATGATCAATGTGCTCTCTCTCCCCCTCTCTCTTGCTATATATATATATATATATGTATATATATATATATATACTCGTCACAATAACCTTGTTTGCAACACCGGGTGTTTTGGATAGACAGCTCTTTCAAAGACAGCCCATTGGAGAATCAATAGTAAGCGTCGATATTTTGTAGGTGGGTTAGATGCCTCCAACCGCAACCAACGTGTCATAAGGGTCATTATAGAATATTTCATAACAAGTAGCACTTGAATAGCTGAACAAAATTTCCCTGGAAGCACACGGCCGGTTTCGCGGTTCTTGCCACTCGTCAGGCATGCTTATCCGGTAATCGTTTGTCAGCTCACACATATGGTAATAGCATCTAACCCAGCTGAAAAACATCGAATCATAGTATTGATTCTTCAATTGATTGGCTCTGAAAGAGCTGTCTATCCAAAAACCACCCGGTGTTGCAAACAAGGTTATTGTGACGAAAATACACTCCCTGGGTACAATTATATTAATAAACAGACAAAATATTATCGGATGCGCATGCCTAACGAGCGGCAAGGACCGTAAAATCATTCGTGTGCTTCCAGGGTAACTTTGTCTATTCATTCATTTATTACTGACTATTAAACATCTATATGTACATATAATTATGTTAACTTTCCAACTGTGTTTAAAAACCAATATTGTTCAACGTTGAACGTACCATTTGCTACCGCTTCCATTGCAATTATAAGCGTGAAAAGGCAAATTTAAAGCCTTGGAATTATTCCGCATTGGTTGTGATCCTGTAGAAATTATTCGGTTGTCTAAGACTGAATAAGATTTACAAACATGCGTGTACTGGTCACTCTGGCCAACCCGAGATTGAGCCAGTTGGTGCACACTTCGTCCGTTGTAAGTTGACTGAGAACGAAAGCAGTGATGATAATGATGGTGACGATGATGAGGAGGATGAGGAAGAGGAGGACGCCAGTGAGCACTCACAGAAGTGATTCCTGTCAGTTGTTTTCCGAACGTATGGCTGAATGAACAATATGGGGATTGTGCATGGGTGTGTTTCTGTGTGAACGAAGTATGAACGATGGCTCACAAAACTCGCCATCCTTGGGTTAATAACAATGCCCTGGAGGCCGATTTCAAGAAGGATTAGACGCTGATAGTTTGATTTAAATTATAATGAAGGAATGATTTTTCGGTGGTGTAAAAGTTCTTGGTGTCCTGGAGGGTGCGTAACAGTTTCATGCCAAATACCAAACCCCACTATCTGGACAATTCATCCCCCCCCCCCACCTAACCACACATTCACATGACCAGGGCTGTAACAAGGACTGGTTCAACACGGTTTGTTCGGTTTACTGCACTCTATTGTGGCGTCTTGATAGGCCTACTGGGGCCGTGGGTGTCGGCGCTCAAAATAAACAGATGTTGGGGCTTTGCAATAGAGCGGAGACCTGCATGGAGTAAAATCACCAAACTGAGCAACCGTCTGATGACCGTAGGTCATTCACTGAAACTGGCAAATCAAGGGCGTCTCAAATTAGACAACTGGACGGATTGCTATCAGGTGACATTAGAGGTGTTTGTTTGTAATTCACCCGAACGAAACGGGTCTCGAATGTAGTCAGTGGGTAGTTATACCGTCCCAATCGATTGCCTGATGAGAAAAAATACAATCTGTGGTATGCGCTTATCACACCGGATTCAAGTTTTTGGAAGCCTTGGTTCACACGATAGACGTATCTCATCCAGTCATCCACTTCGCATGTGGATAATGAGGATGAGGTCAAGGATAACTGTTTAATGTCGAAACTAAAATGTCCGTGCCTAAACAGGATGCACTCGTGTTTTACTTCCTATATCCAATGCAAAGTGGTCTCACGCCATACCGTAAAGACAGTGCATTTCGTTTTCACTCTCACAGTAAACCATAAATGCATTGTGACTATTCGAACTCGGTGTGGTGATTTCAGAAGAGTGCTTGTACTCATGGTCAGAATGGTCATTCATCGTCGTTGTTTCTGTTTTAAAAGAAAAATGTTTCTGAAGGTGAACATTTCCTGGTTGCACAAAAATGGAGACTAGATGGTGGATGGTATGGATCAGTATTTGAATTTTAGGAAATTCTTTTATACAGATGACGAAAAACAGAGCAGTNAATAATAATAATAATAATAATAATAATAACTGCGGAATAGACCACTCACTGTCCCAGGTTTCGTGGTGTGCGCTCCCGTAACAGCCTAATTTTCGGAAATCTGAGTGGGCTAGCGGGCGGGCTCAATTGACAGGCGGTTATCCTGTGGAACCCGATAAAGCCAAACCATTCTGTGCCATTTTTTGTTGACTTCCGGTCTGCCCGTAGGATCAGAAATAAAAGCCGAATTTGAAACAAATTTGAGAAACACGCAACTATTAAGTACACCCGACTGTAAGTATCAACGTTTAGCAAGGATTAAGTACGCTGCATACGTCTCCCTCGTGTGAATCACCCTCCCAGTTCTTCACGAATAGGTTTCATTCTCGAAGTGTGGCCTTCTAAATACTAAATGGACAAATTGGGATACGGCCCACAGTTCATACATTAAACATTTTCAACTATACTAGAAAAGGATTTAGACAGAGCTTGTTTCGGGTTGGAGTAGCGTGTCTATGTTAAGAACACATGGACACAGAATTATTCCCTAAACACAAAGCACGAGAGGGTATGTCGACTGGTCAATCCGTTGTATTTTTTACCCTCATTGATTGTGTTGATAACCGGAGGAAATGGGCATCAAAATGAGTGAGACAACCCACCCAGCGAATTTCACCTGATTTCTCGTGTTACATAGATAGTTTTGCTGCCAGTCCAGACTGTTATGTCTATCCAAATGAATTCCATGCAACCACTGTGAAAAGTGAACTAAAATATCTGGCTACGCCACAGTTCTTCGTCCCTATTTTCCGAAAAACCTACAATAATAAAACAAGCATGCTCAAACCAGGACGCCCATTGTGTTAAGCGGTCCATACTTGCTGTCTACTCTAAGTGGATTGAAATTCTGAACAGTTCTCTGTTATTTATATCGCCATGCTCATATTGATTATGGGGTAAGGACAAGTTTGTTCTGCTCTCCCTATTTTCAGCGAAATCAAGATACCCATCCCGGGGATGCTTCTACCGATCCTGTCCCAGCTAATGTTGAAACTTCAAATACCGAAGTAAAAGACCCCAATGAGTTTGGCCCAGACAAACAAAATGGACAGTAAGTTTGAGCTGAATGTAGGCATGTGTCGTCGTTCTATCCTGGCGTCAACGATGAGTATGACCCTATATTTCAAAGGTATTCAGATGATACTCTGTCAAATATTCTGTTCTTGGTTTCTTAGTGTTGTGAATTCCGCTTCAATGGATCAAATTCCCATTCCTCCGAATGAAACACGGTATATAAAGTGTTCGAACGATCGACTACAGCTGTTACAATCTCTTTGTCCGGCAGCAGCTGCTGCCACCATCCTCCTCGGTCGTCAGTTTTCCGCCAAACCCGCCTCACTCTCGAACAGCAGCGATTCCGAGTCCAGTGGAAAAGAGGACATGGTGAACTTGGGTGAAACCCGGGTTATGGTCAGTGCCAATTCCTGGTGTCCGCAACCGTTAATCGCCAAGGACTTGTCGCCCTACTTGGTGTTTACACATGCTGATCAGATCTCCGATTCAAGCCAATCAACTGTCAGTGTGAGTTCTGCCCGATAGACTGTGCACGCTGCTCCAGTGACACGAATAAAATAAATTTAGAGATACTAACAAATACTTTCGAAATTATCGTATATGGACATATGTGGACAGTTTCAAAGGGGAAATTCATCGTGTAAATGACAAATTAAATGTGAGATGAAAAGTTAGTAAGCACTGGACAGCTGTTTTAACCTGGTTGGGTCTCATCAGCAGTGCGAATACATCAACCCAACTGGCGATCGAACACCTTTGAAATTGAATCAAATCCTCCAATACTCACATGAGATATATAAACAGCTTTGGTTACAGTAGGATAGATAATGAGATAAAGAGTCGATGCGAATCAAGTGATAAGCAACAATTAATGTAAGATTTTTTACAACGGTATGGCTCACGCAAATGCAAAAGTCATATTTTATCATAAATTCATTTGATCTTGTTGATGTGTTTGTGAACAATTGTGCAACCTTTAATTGTCTTCATCTGACGAGAAGCGGAATGAGAGAGCTCCGAAAACCACTGTGAGGGTAATCACAGAGTTTGCAAATCTTTGAGGTTTCACAGTTTTTGATCTCTAACTGAATGAAAGAAAATTCTGCATTCTCGTATTTGAAATCGTATCCTACGTGTGTGTGCTCAGTGAATAACGAGATGCTTGGAGTATGAAAGATGATATTTTTTCAACGAGAGTCCTAATAGGAAAGTGATAACGTATTCGTAAACTCGTAGTTGAATTTTAAAAAATGGTTACGAGTAGGAAAAATTAAAGGCTGGATGTATTTGGAAAATGGTGTGTACACAGCTGTCTAATAATCTGTCCCGGTTTTCCGATTCCACAAAATCTATTCACTTTGTTGAACACCGTGTTTTCTCTGAATATTCACAAAGTGTTTTGCGGTCCTTCTATCATACTGCAAGTATTTGGCTGTTCCAATTTATAATTTTTACAATAGCTCATAAGCGGCCTAGTTACCGAAGTTTGATTCCCTTCTACTTTACTGACCCATGATTTCTTGCGCTTATTCAATAAATCAACTTAATCCATTCATTGACCGTCAATTTCCGGGAGTCTCTTTCACCGGGCTATTCGGTCTCCTTGCTGTCTCCTCATGGTTTACTGGGCCTCACACAACGTTTTGTCAATCATAGAATAAAGAATACGGAACTTCATTTATTAATTGCGCCTTATGGTAAACTTGCACAGATCGAAAATTCACCTAGTTAGTGATGGTGGTACCGGAAACATTAGCCCGGGCGGTAAAAAAGACGATTCACATTCTTCTCCCCTTAGTTTTGTGCGCAGTTGAACAAACAAAGCTTTATTCCGGTTTCGGGTCAGACAATAAAAATTCGTATGCGGCAGAATAACGATCACACGGATTATTTGTTTTGTCACACGATGCGCACGCGCAGTCTGTTACACTTTGATTTTTCCTCCTGTCAATTTGCTCGACATTGCTGCCGAAAATCAACTTGATTGTACGCTACTCGATTACTTTCGAGGTTTATATTTGGATAACTGCCGGCCTTCAGTAAGTGCGATTTCGTGTGCCAGTGTGTTTGTGGGCACGCCTGTTGGCTTGTATGTGTGGATTGGGGCGCGACAATTTAGTCCGGACAGACGAGACAACTGTAACAGAAAAGGGAAAAGCGACTGTCATCTCATAGTTCGACGATTCCCCTCCTGAGACATGCAAACAAAGACACACGCATAGACCGCTTCGCTGAGTTACTTTGCACTCTATAGACAGGGAGTACTTAGGCAACGGATAATAGAGTCAGAGAGCATGGCAGATAGAGGTGATAAATCCTCACTTTTCGGAATTTTACAACTACCGATGACAACATTGTCCTGAGTAGATGGTTTCATTGTGACAAATAAACCGACTATAGCACCCAGTCAGTCCCCAATCGTTTCAGTCTGTCTTTTGTTCCAGTTCACATAATGCACAACACACGCACAATTCGCCCCCCCCCGCACCCCCTCGCAGTCAACCTGGTTTGCCAATGAAATCCGTACGGCCTGGCATCCTTCACACCATATGATTAGGGATCTACTTTTACCTGATTGCGCGGAGATAGATTACTACTTTGATCCCGCATCACACACGCGTGCTTTGTGTAAAAATAGATCTACTAAATAATTTTTGGACTGAAGCATTTCTCAATCACTCTATAATGACTTATTTTAATCTCTATCCAGTACTTATTATCAGACAGTAACACACATGGTTCCGTTACAGACAAAAGGCCAACCCGATTCATCACCACCCGTGATACGCGGCGGCACTTTGGACGGCCTGATAGCATACGCGTTGCGAGTGTTAGAGGATCCAACTAACGGTGAGT